AGTGCATATGAACATATATTTACGAAAGGTCGCCTCCGAGGGGATAAATCACCATGTCGAACATTGCATTTTTGTTCCTGCCTCTCGCGTTCTCTTCTCTGACCGCTGTCCTACCTTTCGTGTCTCCCTCCTCTCAAGTTGAAGATGTTACACGTGTGTAGATGTTGGAGGGACACTCCTTTATAGTCAAAAGGAGCATGGTTGCGACCTTGGGCATACTGGTATCATGGGGTGTACTGACCGTGGTGCATTGGCGAACAACTGCATGTGCCCACAAAATGTAACCTCAAACTGCAACGCTTTTTGCAACCGCATTATTTTTGTCAGAGTGCTGAGTGTTCTTGTTTGTGTGTATGTGGTTGGGTCAACAACATCAGAAACAACCCGTGTCTCTAGAGACTAAACTCATTGGTCAAAGGCGGTTCTATCCCCATGTTTTTTTCTGCAAAACTCCTACACGATGCATTGTGCTGGTCACAGGGTTGATGCGATCCGTACTGCGACGGGGACCTGATGACTACTTCATGTGGATGGGCTATACTTTTGTGCTTCATATTTGCGGGCGGGGACGTGGCCCAATGGCCATGAGGGTCTTGACTCACCTGAGCCATCGGTAGCAAGAATGCTCGCTGTTTGCTCCACTTCATGCTTGAGAAGAACAGAAAAAGAACATAAAAGAACTATCATGAGATGAACATAAGCACCTCCAGCTTCAGAGACATGATCTCCCTCTCTCTCTCCACTAATTACTGTCGTTGTCTTTGCCAGCAATGAGCATCTGCAAGCTGTATTGAAAAAGCTTCTGTTTCGACAAGTCCGGACAAGTCGACATGCAGATGGCATGGCATCCATGAAGGTCTCGGTGGAGCAGATCAATGGGGAGGCCATGGTGGTCGAAGTGATGCCAGAGATGAAGATCAGCGACTTCAAAGCGCTGCTAAAAGCACAGCGGGTTTGCGGAGATGAAGTCATGCGCAAGATTGCCAAAGCGGAGGTTTTGGTGGGAGGCCAAAAGACAACTGACGACAATGCGACTTTAATAGAGACAGGCATTTCTCCTACTGCTCAAGTGCAAGTTCTCTTCACAACCCATACGGTGGAGTGTTGCAGTAAACATGACTCTGGAACAAAACCTGAGGTCTTGACCGTCGTGAAAATTCCCGACTCAGCCGCAAGTATCGGAATCAAAGCCTTCGAAAACTGCCGGTCGCTGACCCTTTTGACCATCCCCAACTCGGTGACCTCCATTGGGGACTCTGCCTTTGCATTTTGCGGAGAATTGACACGTTTGACCCTTCCAGACTTCGTGACCTCCATCGGAGCCCGTGCCTTTGCGTTTTGTGTGTCCTTGACCAGCGTGAAGATTCCCAGCACTGTGACGTCCATTAAGGCTGGCACATTTGTCGGCTGCAGCGAGATTACGAACTTGACCATTCCCAACTCGGTCACTTACATTGGAGCCAATGCATTTGCAGGTTGTCGTTCATTGACAAGCTTGACGGTTCCCGAGTCTGTGACTTTCATTGGAGACTATGCATTTGCAAGCTGCAGCCGCTTGACAAGCTTGACAATTTGCAAGTCTCAAACTTCAATTGGAGACTACGCATTCTCAGGCTGCAGTTCTTTGACAAGCTTGACAATTCCTGAGTCTGTCACATCCATTGGAGTTTGCGCGTTTGCAGAATGCCGTTCCCTAAGAAGCTTGACCATTTCCAGCTCTGCAAATTCCATCGGATTCGATGCGTTCAAAAACTGTGCCTTGTTGACCAACTTCACTGGCTCACCCGATTCTGTGAGACTTTTGCAGCAAACAATCGACAGCAATAAGGCAGAGGCTTCGAAGGGGGTCTCTGTTTGACGTCCGGCTCGTGCGTTGGCCGAACAACGTCGTGCGCCCAGTGTGTGCCAACGAGTGCCTGTACAAAGAGCTTTAAGCGAGTTGCGGCCAAAAAGGATTTGTTGCCTGATCCAGGGATAGCAGAGGCCAAGAAGCCAAGAGGTCATACAGGAGTGGTGGAAACACACGATTTGGTGCTGTAATAGTGCTGCTGAGTCGTAGTTAAACGTATTTAGATCATGTTTTAAGCTGCAGATCGTTGCAAGGGTGTTGCTTTGCTATGTTAGAGGAGTTTGGTTGCCTACTGCCTAAGTGAAACATTCGTGTCCCAAGGTGGCAAATAGGGAAGGACCCAGCTTTTCCTCCTGAATGAACCATCTCTAGCCTTTCCTGACATTGGAAAGAGGCCTGGTGTGACAATAGACGGGGGACTGAAGTGTATGGAGTAGGCATTGAAGGGCGTTGAAGAATTGTTCAACTTAGAAGTGATATTATGTGATATTGTGATATTTATTTTGTAACTTTGAAGATGCATGTAAATTTGACAAGGGAAAGGTACCACTCACAAAACTTTTTATGCAAATTTGAAGTGGAAATCCCTTTGGGTCTTGTGGAGCCTTTCCACTTGTGGAGCAGGGGACCCACTTCTGTACGTCGTAGAGTTTTGATCAACCGACTGTGCAAGTAGGTCCAAGTCAACAGAGCTTAGGTTTCATGTCAACCAGTTGGAGCTGCAAAACGAAAAAGCGCTTCCCAACCTCGCCGCCTCGGCGTTTGCCCAATGATGTGTAGCAGGTGAAGGTTGTGTTCAGCTTGTTGCCGTGCAACTTCGGGCACTCTGGGACAGCCACTCGATCCAAGGCCCCATCACATCATCCCACACTGGAGCCCGGGAAGCCAGTGGACAACGGGACAGACAGTCCAGTGACGGCCCGGGGAAGACTCAGGACCCGAACCGGTGAATGTTCGCGTAGTTTTCATGTAGTATACTTACTTCTTGTCTTAGGAATTGTTTGCATTTCTGGAATTGTTTGAACAGGCTTTTCTCATCTCGGTCTAGGTCTGAACAGTTTGGTTGACGTGTTTGCCTACATTGTTGCAGAAGTGACTAAACACCGAGCTCTCCGTATCTTCTCAAAGAACATGTGGTTGGAAGTCCAAAGAGTATGTTGCCTAGTTAGGTGTTTCACGAGCTTGTCAGGGGCTGCAGGGGCTGTGGCCTGGTGGAGGATCCGATTCACCCCATGGCCTGGTCGGGTCGTTGCACCCCATGTGTTTACAATCATCTCCTGGACCAAGGGTGTTTCCGATCATCAATGGACCCAGCGAATGGGAGTCGTCTTCCGTGGAACCAATGGTCTTGGCATGAAGAACTACAAAGAAGGAGCTCTTTCTTAGAATGATAGACCAATTCCAGAGTCAGAAGTAGCAAGAGCTTTTTGAACAAGTAATTGTGTTCAGATGTGTGTCGGAACAACAATGACAGAGCCCAGGCATGCCCAGGCACATACACCTCCACGTTCTCTCCAGCTTTTTGTGGGCCATTCCTGATGATTTCGTGGCTTCGGCTCATGTTCGTCGGTCTTACGACATGTGTTTGAGGTTCGAACTATCGATGTGGGAGCACCACAGTGGGCCATGCACTCCTGCAGAGAGGTGTGAGCTGATGTGGCAGATGTGGCATGATGGCCGGTCCCCAGGTGGATCATGAGCCCCTACGACATGTCCGGGCAGTGTGACATCAGGGCATAGCCCTCATAACCATGCGTACCTACCAATTTCTCAATGTTGATCACATGTTCAGCTTTATTTGGGAAGAAATCCACTTGCCCCAGCTGGGTGAGGGAGATCAGCTGATGATCTGAGGTTTGTCTCGATGATTATATTTATATAGTCTTGCAAGTCTGATGCTCTCCGGCAACATCCCCCAATGGCGTCGGAGCTGCGGCAGACATTCACTACAGGGGTTACTGTATTATACTGTATTCATTCTGGAAAACGGTATCATGTTATTCATATCATATTCATTCTGCGTCACTATAAACGCGCCTTTCCGCTCTCCTTCCGAAAGCCCTGGCAGACATGCGCTACCAGTGATGCTTTGCACATGCCTGGGTTTCCCAGCGGTGAGTGCTGCTTCGAAAGTTGTCATCAAAGCGATATATATATATATATGCTGATAATACAGTATAGCAAAGTTTTGGGTGGGGTATGGGATGATATATACATACTGTACATATTTTACATATTACATACTAGTATCACCATGGGTACATCCTGTGGAGTTGTTGGGGAGTCCTTGATACAAGAGCTGCAGGGTGATTTCCGCCCCATAGGTTAGAAGTGATTGGAAACCAAAACTCTTCAGAATGATTTGGAAGGTCACACACATTTGATAGACTGTTCATACCACTTTGATTTCTCACGATGTGGCATTCAGTGTAGAACCCTCTCGTAGAAGTTCAAGAACCCCTGCTGTTTGTCCGTGCTCTTGGAAAAAGCATCATTGTATAATGTCACTGTAATAACCCAGGAATCACAGTTGTCCCCAATGTCCACAACACAATGTCCCGATGGCATGCTTCAAAGAGGCCGGGGTCTTCTTAAACTCAATGGATCATGTGCAGTAACTTTGGTGGCAACTTACTTTCTGGGTGATAAAGCAGGTGTTCCCTGTTTGCACAACCAGATTGGGCTTTATCGTCTAAAAGCTTGGAAATGTCCACGCCACAAAAGTCAGATCTAGTGTTTACAGCGCAAGCATCTCCAGGGCATTTTGTAACAGAGTTCTTCCCCTTGATCCCCACTCATCCAAAGGCTGAACCTTAGCAAGGCATGGCGGGTCCACACGAGAGCTTTGGTCCACACGGGAGTCAAAGCGATGGATTGCAGCAGAGAAACCGTCATGTTGGATCAGTTGGTAGAATCTTGACCTAAAGCATCCCAAGACATAGAAGGTACAGTGGCACACTTTTGTGTAAATGCATCTCTTTGGAGTGTCTCAATGGGAACATCCTCTCTTGCAGCACGTGATTCCTACTTCAAAAGCTTCGACTCAGAATGTGTGCTCCTCCCCTTGGACAAAAGAGCTTTAAAACCTTTGCGATATCGCGACCTTTGACCGAAAGATTGCTCCAAACCAAGCAGACATGACATGGCTTTAGGGTTTTCCAGATGATAAGTAGAGTAATTGGTATTCTTCGACACTGCAGAAAGTTTATACTGTATCTGTGCAAACATCTTCCCACCAGCAATTCCGGCTGCTGGACAGGCCTTCTTCACACACTTCCGGGAGGTGGATGACTCCGCGTCGAAGTTGTGAAGCAGAGAGCCGGAGATTCTGAGCGAAGACCTCCAAAGAGTCTAGAGTCGCTTGGACAATGTTTGTTAATAGTTTTTTGTTTGGGGTTCTGCTGCTTCTTGGCTCAATGGAAGGAACGGGTCCTGGGTTGGTCGGATCCAACAAAATACATATAGTCTAAATAGTGAATGTAATGATCAATAGAACATAAAATGCGGAAACCTGTATCAAGCTGCTGCTCCTGCTGCTGTTGTTGCTGCTGCTGCTACAATGAATGAGTCCTTGAATCAAGTAATCCAATCATTTTGAAATCCGAGGTTCCTTTTGACTTTCTAGATGCTTCTCTCGCAGTTATAACAAGCGTATATATACAACAATGACCTGTTCAAGCTTGTCTTAGTTCAGATTGCAGATCCAGGGACACGATCACGATCTCTTCTCTTGCTGCATGCTGACAAAGCAAACATCATCGTTTGAGCTTTGTGAATTTGTCCATCATCCAGAAATAGAATCAGAGAGCACAGCATGCAAAAGCTGTTCTTTGCATTTCCACAAGCAGTTGGTGATGGCCCTCAACCTCAAGTGGAGCACTGAATAATGTTTCAGACAGGGAGGTGACCAGATTCTCCGTTCGCGAATCCATTGGTTCCTGTCTACAGGCAGAGTAGTTCGCAACCAGAGGAATCGCAGGACATATGTTCCCAGCGACACCTGTTCGGGAGCAAGTTAGTAGCAAAAAGGCATGATATCCGGCAGCTTGATTCAACAACATATATATATATTAATATATATATGTGTGTGTGTGTTCGTTTGATGACAAAATGTTGTCCAGGTATGCTGACCCCGCACAAGTCAGTGCAGAGCAAAGAGGGGCAGGGGTAGTTGAGTTTTTGGAATCATGGTTCTAATGGTTTGCCTCCGATCGGCAAGTTAGGACGCCTCCTGGTACCTGTGTGGGCTCAATTGGTCTGAGGCCCACCAGGTTTCATGAAGCAAGATTACAAAGAGGTTCAGTGATCATCGTGTGAGTTACTTTTCAGTGTTCACCAGAGCAGGCCAGGCAATTGACCTCTACGGTGGTGAGATCTCTCCTGTTTGTGCCGCCGTTGCGACTATGCTTGAAGCCTTGAAAATCTGAAGAGCCTGCTTAGGACAAGCAACGTCGTTCTCATGCAGGTTTCACATCCATGACATCCATGAGGCCAATAATTTGGACTTTTGGATGAGATCATCGAAGAACACCCTACAAGCCTGGCAGCAATACCAATACCAGCATATGCCATTCACCCAAAACACAACTTGGCATCTGACACCTGGTCGTGCGAATCTGCCGGCATGGCGCCAAAAAAGAAGCCACCAAAGGCTGAGGCATGGCATGGAACGGCGGCACCATGGCTTTGGGCGGGCTCTCTCGTTTTGAACACTGTTCACAATATCCTTTTGCCGCTGGCAAATTCGCACATGGAAATGGATGAATATGATGAATTGCATCAATCTAAGCTAAATTGTTTTGTCATCAGGCTGTTGAGCCTTGGCATACAAGAGCTGTTTCTGAAAAGTGGCGGTGATCATTAGGTGTCCCTTTGCCTTGCACTGCATGATACTGCATGTGGATGTTACCAAGCAGTGGCTTACTTTCTCCAGGGTGAGCCCGATGCATTGGAAGAATTCCTGAAGAAATATGGCAAGAATCAAAAGGCCAACGGGCTTGACGTGCATTGGGCCTGTCGGCGGGAAGTGCTTGTTTTATGTCTCGTTGCTCATGTATTCAGTCACACAAATCTCGTATCTACAAGCCTTCCCCATGTCCAGTGTTCTTTGTTGGTTTGCTTGTGCTCAATCCCAGGCTTTTTGAGCGTTTTCCGGAAAAGCACAATTGGATACATTAGGAGAGCCAACGAGGATGACGACAGATCTGGAACAATCAGTGAGAAGAAGACAATATATAATAGAAACACGGATAAACACGGGTTTCTTCATGATCCTTCTTCCCTGGTGGCATGTTGCTTTCTTTCCACTCTGAAACATCACCCAGACAGAATCCAAACCAACGAACGCGCTGAACAACTCCAGGAGTACGATGTGCCGAAGATCGCACGCGTCCAAGAGATACTGCAAAAGATTGTCGGGGGTGCCCGGTTGGAATGGGCCGGATGGGGTTTGTCCAGCATCACAAAGCAGGGCTGATCGGGATCCTTCCACCAGAGGGTTTCACAATGTTTCGCAGACTAGAAGGCATGTCATGTCATGTCTTTCAGAGATGGGACCGCCACCAGTCTCAAAGCAAGCCCCCACAAAGCAAAAGTTGTATAAAGATGTATAAAGTTGTACCGTTTATGATCAGAACTGTGGAGGTGCCAGCCGCTGTGATGTTGTATTTCAAGAGTCAGCCCAAAAAGGTGTGGAATGTAAAGAGATATAAAGAGATCTGTACGCATATATATATATATGTACACATACAGTATATAGTTTCCGTTGGTGTTGGGGGCGGCCACGCTTCCATGCGGTGTCTCGGAGTGAGTTTGATACCAGCCAAGCTACCTATCAGCTGACAGGGTGCCTCACTGGACATGCGGAATGCTGGAGGTTCAGGGCTTTGGTTTTTTAAACTACTCCCCGCAAGAAGTCACATACAGGTCCAATTCACTGCCAGCAGCCTTTGGAACCGGGATGAAGCAGGGATCCCAGGATTCCATCGATGGTTCGCAATTCGGCTTTAGACTCAGAAGATGTTGCTCAAACCGTGTTTGTCAACTTGCAATACAACCAGCAGATACTGTAGTCAGACGGGGAAAAGTCGGCAGGCCCTGTCTCATCCGGCATAGCTTGCAATCGCAATCTATCTCTTAAAAGCCCACACCAAGCTTTACTATGCTTTACTTGTGGGAACGCAAACAGACTCGTTTGCTCTCCGTCCTCGCGAGGACGAAGGGGAAGAGATGAAGTGCTGGAACTTCGACTCAGAGTGGGGCACACCTAGAGGATGCGCCTGATCATTTGCTGAAGCACTCATGGAAATGCCATGAAAGCTTTGAGAGGTGTTTCTGGAAGGTGAACTTGAGCTGTTGAATCCATTCTGTTCCGAACTTGTTTTGCTGGTACTTGCTTTTGACAACTGAAAGGTTGCAACAAGATTTGGTGGTGCCTGGCTCGCCATGTTGTTCATCCCTTCGAGCATCCCCTCCTTTTTGATGTGCTCGGTCTTCACCGGTTTGACCCTTGCTTTTATGGGATGGATGAAACATATATAGTTATATATATATAATGAAACCAATTTCCACGGCAAACCCGGGTAGGGCAACTCAGATCATATGGATGATGGATGATCATGGGAGGCCGCCGCATTTTCAGTTTCTCCAGACCTTTGTGTTTCTCCGCATGATCACTTCGACATAAACGACCAACTGCCTCAGGTTTGATCCCATGGCCTTCCAGATCCTTTGCCACACCCTGCGGCAGGCCAATTCGGAGAGCGTATTGCCAAGAGGTGGTTGTCTCAAAAAGACTAGCAACAACGGTAGCCTGCAAGAGCACGAAAGCATATGACTGTCCTTTGGAAATTGGCACTCTTGTGGGAATGCCATCAATGTTCATCAATTTTCCAGTTTTGACTGCAAAGCTTACAGTGAGCAGATGCCCATTTATGCTGTGGATGAGGTGTGTTCCTTATTGCCTGTTCCTGCTACTGCGGCTGCGGTGTTGGTTGTGCTCGTTCCGGTTGCCGATGTTCTTGGTCCATTCTGCCGCGATGTTGGTCGTTGTGCCCTTGTGCTCTTCAGTCATCGCAGCTACCCGATAGAGAGGTCATTGTCATACACGGCTCTCGTCGTTTTAGGCCAACTACAACGACATCGAGGCCATCCGGCTTTGGAAATGTGGAGATGGAGACAAGGTGCGACCACCGGGAACTGGACCCAGAGAATAGATGGAATATGATGGAATAGACGTCCACTCGGACTCAGGCTTTCAGGTATGTGTGACCGCTCGATGTTGCAGCTAGGGAGGCTCGAAGCGCTTTGGACGGGAAGCAGAGAGATTGAAAAAACCCTACTGCAACGACCTACTGATTTCCGATGGTAAAACATAGTAAAACGTTGAAACAAAGCTCAGAGTTGTCCTTCTTTCACACCTGGGCCCCTTTTCTGTCCCACAGACCAAAAGTCAAAGGATATTCCGTAGCACCTGAGCACGGAGATGATAGAAACAACCGCTTCAATGGAGCAAAACGGGCAAGCCTGATGCCCTTCAGCCTTGGATTGCTGTGTTTGCTGTTTTTGGAGCTCACTAGGCCGTGCGTAGGAAGCTACTAGGAACAAGTGCATCGCTACTAGTAACAAGTGCCTTACTAGTAGAAACAAGAAGCTATTAAGAAACAAGTGCCTTACTAGTAGTAACAATAAGAATTTAATTTGATGCCTTTGTGACCCACTCTTTCCGACCTTTGCAGCTCCTAGGCCGTGCGTGCAGTGCACCTTGGATGATCTCATGGACGAAGGTGGTCGACGTTCGTTCCTTCTTCCCACTTGTCCTACCAACCTTCAGGGTGTGAACTGGGGAGTTTAGCACCAGTGATGTTTGACATAAAGACAATAATGTTCATTCATGTTCCTATTCTAACAGGCCTTCCTCCGACACTGCCTCCGAAGAAACTTGCGTGTAGGGAGAAACCTATCCAGACCTCACAACAGCCCCAAAAGGGAGAAAACCTGAGGTGTTACTACCTGGATGGTCAGATTGGTGAGCAGGGTGTCAAGGCGGGGTGTCAAGGATGAAAAAATTGAGAGAGAGAGAGAGACAGACAGACAAAGGGACTTTGAGGGTTTTTGCATGTGCTTCAAATTGAGTGATATTGAGAGTACAGTCTGGGGTGTTGCCTGGTACTGTTAGTACTAATTTGATGTTTGTCCGGATTTGCAATAGCATTTTTATGGTCCAGTCAAATAGTCTGAATGCTGGCTTGAAGACAACACCTGTAATTGAGCACTCGCATACAATAAGTATTTGGTCACATTGAGGATGTTGATCGAATTTTGTTTTATATACACCGAACCCTGATATGTGAAGATGTGTGAAGTGCTATGCACACATTATTGCTGACTGGCTGACTGCTATTTGTCAATCCATAATCCGTCAGAATCCTAAACAAAAGAAAGAACAATATACAGCCCCAAAAATCATATCCCCCTCCTTGAGCTCTTCCCACAAAAGCATATCACCAACAGACCGCAGCTGAACGCCCCTCACCTCCCGCGCTCCGATGATCTCCGTTCGGCAGGATGTTCAGTTCACCGACAACGGCGTCACAGAGCTGGGCTGCGAGTTCTTGGGCCGGACCTTGGGGTCTGGGCACCCGGAGATGGGGTGAGATGGGTGAGGCAAAAGATCAGCACAAAAAAGAGAGGGGTGTGAAGAGGGGTTGAAGAGGGGGTTGAATGTGTGTGTGGGGTCCTTTTGGGGTTCACTTATGTTTCTTCTTCTTTTTCTTCTTCTTCTTCTTCTGAGCTGAAGCGCAAAGATGGGTGGTTTGAGGGGTGCTTGATATTTTGGGGTGTTCGTAGGTGTTTCATCCGCTGAGAACTACATGAAGTACGGTACCAACCGGTTGGGGCATGTTCACTACATGTCTTTGCCACAAAAGAATGTTTACGTAGCTAAAGATTTCAGAGACGTGAAACGACGGCGTTAACGCATCATTTGAGTGGGATGTGAGTCAGTACATCTGAATGCGGCTGAATGGTGCTTCTTGTGCGGCATAACGGGTCAGAGTCTTGTTCCCTTTTGCTGCAAGACGATGCTGTATGCTACAGCTAATATGGTGCTTGTGGGTGAATTGTTTTTGCCCCTAGGCATCCGTTATCATCCATTGCAACATATTGCAACACCTCCCATCCCTATGCTGACTTCTTGGCGGCTTTGTGGGTCCTGAATCCACCAGGCCCAATGGCAACAAGTTGGTGAACCTGCTGCGCATGGACTACAACCAGGTGAGACGGAGAGCAGTCGCGTTTCAAGCCTTATTTTGTTTGAGTTTCGCATGTCCAAGTTTCAACATGCGTTTCAGGCGCAACCTTCCAAATCACTGGCTTTGGGGATGCAGTGCATGCAAATCATGGCAACCTTTCATGTCGTAGTAGCAAGAAGCTATTAGAAACAAGTGCCTTACTACTAGGAGCAAGAAGCTACTAGGAGGGGCTCCTGGCCTTACTAGTAGTAACAAGAAATGTGTGTTCGACTGAACCCGTCCGCCAGTTCGGAACGCCGGGGGTGCTCCGGCTCTCCGAAGGGCTCAGCCAGCTCGGGGCACTCGGTGACATCGAAGACTGTCGATGACCAGTTCTTGGCTTTTGGGCTCCATTCTGAAAGAAATCGATGGACACATCATGACACGAATCCAACTCATCTTCGCCCTCCGGGACAGTGAATGGCTCGATTTCGGTCATGTTCGGTCGTTGGCAGCCGAGGAATCACACGCTGAGACATCTTTCCTTGAACTATTGCAATATCGGAGAGGAGAGAGCCGGCACATGTTTGCGGTAAGTAGTGGAAAGCATAAATAGTGGATACAGGGGCCTTCTGCAACTGCCAAGGGGACTTCTCACTTTGGAAAACAAGCGAACTTCATATAACTTCATATAACTTCCCATGTTCTCAAGTTCATGGTCAGACAGTCTCAGTGCTTTAACTCCTAGTGTGTGTGTGTATGCGTCCATACAATTCCCATCAATTCTCTATATATATATATTTGTAGTATACATGATTGGACGGATGGAACACAACAAAGTTTGTTCATTGAGACAATGTTTTGATACAATAATTGCGATACTAATTGCGATATGATGCTACTGATCCATCACCACCGAGTTTGATCATCAGATGTTAAAGCCTCCATTGGCTGCAGGACGGTGGCGAGTACCTTGCTCACATTCTCATCTTCCACCGGCGGGGGAAACGGCAAGGGATTTGGATGACGTTGTGTCACAGCTAGAGTCTCCAGGCAGACATCCTCTATATTAATAATTACTTGTATCAATAATAATGGTGTTTCAGAGCTATACTGTATGCCACAGACATCATCCCATGTTTTGTATGGATGCTCCAATGCATTTTGACAGTCAAGGCACCTGGCCACCAGGGGTCACCAGGATTATCTATCTTGAGGAAAGCCGCTGAGGAAACTTGCTTTCGGGGATGCTCCCAAGCCTTGAGATGAGTTTGCCCGGGAAACTTGTGCCTGCCTGGAAGACTTTATATAGAACCCTTGCCAGAACCAGCATGGAAGACTTTATATAGAACCCTTGGCAGAACCAGCATCAGCATGAAGCCCAAGGACAAAGAAACCTGTGTGCCTCAGACAAAAGTTGGTAGGTCAAGACAGGTCAAGACCCCTTGCGCAGATGCCCAGTCTGTGGGTGGGTCCTGCCATGGCCAGGAATGCTCTTGAGAAACTAGAATTGCAAGGAAACTACCTCAGAGAACGAGGTGGGCAGTGGCACTCGGATGGGTTGAGAGAAAGTGTGGCTTTCCGCTTGTCAGCTTCTCCACTTGAGTCCCGAACGCTGCACTGTCTCAAACCCGTCACGGCCCTCATGCTCCAATTGTGAAAACGGCGAACCCGTCGGCAAACTTGTGCTTCAACTCTGTTCAATGGCACTAAGAGGACCATCCGAGGAGACAAGTTTTCGGCGACGTTGCGGCGGGGCAACGAGGCACAGTATAGACGGGAGAGCCAAATTTGATCCAATTTGACTCTAGGTTTGTGCCTTGACTCTACTCTTCTGTTTTAGCATAGCACGTCAATGAAAAAGTCATGTGGTTACGGCCCCATGGAGGAAAGTCTCCGCAAGTTCAGCCATACTGTAACTCATACCTTGGACCCTGAAGAGAATGGATGTGTATATTAGCTGAGGCAGCTGTCTCAGTAGTTCATGACTGTGGGAACGTCAGCTTTGAGTTCTTCACACACCGACGGAAACCTGAAGGGACCCTGAGCATCTCTCCGGTTGAGGGAGACACAGACATGACATGCGTTGTATGTTGTACATACACATTTATCAGAATGTATGCAAGACTCCCACGTGCTATTTTCTCTAGTGAAAACCAAATTGTACATACCTTCTGATCAAGACACTGGGATGCTTGCCATTGTCTCCAGATGTCTCCACTGTTTTCCCTCAAGTAGCGTCCTTGCTCCTAGTAGCGATGCCAGGAGCCCCTAGTAGCGCTCAAGTGCCAAACCGCCGGTAGGTGTCGTGGATGTCTTTAACGCCTGCAAGCGCAAAACTGCCCTCACGCCCCTGGGCCAAATGCTGCGAGCGTGCGAAGGATGTGTAGACCTGGTCCTTTTGAGGAACTGTTGAGGGCTCCACTGAAACATCTTGGACTTATGTAATTGCAACATATTCTCAGGTGATCTTGCAGCAGTCCTTCAACTGCGTTTGGCGTTTGGTCATGAATAGCTTACAGCATGCAGAAATAGTATGAACTCTACTCGACACTTCTCGTGATGGGGTATTTCTGGTCCTGCAAAACTTTCAGCTACTGGACTAAACATAGAGAGGTCCAGGTAACTTCACAGCAGATCTTGCTGCAAGAGGCGGCATGTACAGCACCCTCGCCTCAACTGTGTTTATCGGACGTTCATATACGCTTGCAAAGTCGTAGGAAGTGGCTCTCCAAAGACTTCAAAGTCACCATGCTGCTAGCACGTGATGATCCAGGATGAGCGGTCTGGCTGAAGACTTCCAATAGAGTTCATATTTAACCCCACAGTGGAGAAGGTGGGCCACTCTCTCATGGCCGTGGCCTAGATCACATGGCAGTCTACTGATCTAGCACGACGATGCTGATGTACTCTGAAATAACAATCCCCCCAAACAGATGGAGCCTATTTTATGTACGTTCGTCGCCCACCAACCCTTCCAGTCACGGACTGGGGCGTTCGGCCGGCCCCATGTACGTTCGTGGCTTTGCCCGTCGCGTGCCAGGGAGATCAACGTGTTTGACAACAAATTCTCGGACACCCCAGAGGTGGTCAAGGCAACGGCCATGGCGGCCGTCATCAACGGGACATGACCCCGTGCACGGGGTCTCATGTTTTGCTGCAGAAGGATCGGCGAAGTGCGGACTTGAGATTTTGGACGCCTGTATGTTTTGTAGAGGTTTGTGTCATGTTCCGGAACCCAGAAACGAGGATTCTCGTGACCGGTGATTTGTTTCTGCTTTTGGAATCAATGTTTTTGGCACTTTGAACTGCTTGATAATTGGGCGACTTCCTGCCAGGGGTTGAGAGCAAAGATGTTTAAGAGCCTTTGCAGGTGTTACAGGGGCATCGTGTTCTCATTGCGCTGAGTGATTCTTTGACAGCAAACAGTAAAGGATTCTCCAGTTTAGCCGCCACTATTGGTTCTGAGATGACTCAAGTGCTCCTCAAGAGTGGACGATAGTGGACGCCAACCGCCTGGATATCCCTGGAGAATAGTCCCACGTTTTAAGATTGTCCCAACCTCTGACATTGCAACTACCAATGGGGGAACCTACATCGTTCACTCAAACAGAGATCCTCCCCAAGTTGGCAGTCCCCTTTTCACAAGGGCTTCTCAAAGCCCGAGACAGCCTTGCACAGGCCTTGCGCGAGCTCTTCGCGAACAACACCACCTTGGCCGTTTATGACTTAGGAGGCGCCTCCTGGGACAAACTGGGAGCAAGAGGCCTCAGGGTTGTTGCGTGATGCTCTACTCTGAGGGCAGCAAATGGGAAGATCTCGCCATGTACTCAGTAGAGTCTGCCCCAATGAGTACCGCCGTTGAAATACTGCGACGCCGCTATAATCTCAGACGCTCCGACATACAGAATCAGATTTTGCACTGGTATTGGGTTTATGAATGTATATACATGTATATACTGTATATATACACATGTCTTCTTTGGATGCTGGCCCGATCCAGGCAATCATATCAGCGATGAGGGAGCCATGAAATTGATTCATGGCCTCATCGGCCAGCCTCATGTGGAGAAGGCACCTACGCGAAAAGGAGGACATCAGGACCACAGACAAACAAAAGAGAGGACAAGAGAGTTATGGGGGGAGAGGTAATGGGAAGATAATAGACGCGTCGAGCACACTGTGTGCATCCAATTTGTCCCGAAATGCAGACTTTGGAATCTGGAGTGTGTAATAATCTGCCTGCTAGATCCTGCTCACACTTTAACGGGCCGTTTTGGTCAGTCTCATGCTATTGCCCAACATCAAGGTCATTCATTACCACTGGCCCCACTGGCATATCACGGGGGCAGCCTCATGGATGAATGGTCAAGCTTTGGTCGTGGTCTAGAGGAAAACGATCTGATGCGAACTTGGTCTCCGGTGTTTTCGGAAAAGGTGACGGTGTTCGTTCCGGGACTCTCTCCGAACCACCGACTCCCGTTCGATCGTCAGGATCCAGTCGACCGGCTTGGACGGTTCGTGCTTTCACTGGCAAGACCTACTCACCCTAGGCCCTATGTGTGCGTGACTGTCACTAGCGCAGCCATGTGCTTGTGTGCGGTCTCACGGGCGACCATTAGCTTGATGATTCTGAGCTACAGGAGATGAGGGACAATGGTGAAACTGTCCAGGACTCCAGGACTTAAAGAAACTGTCCATTTCAGCTCTCGAGGTTTCGGCCAAAGACTTTTGACTGAGAAGGGTCGCTTGGATGATGACGAGGCTTTAATGGCATGGCCTGAGTTGCAGCTGGTCTTTTTTGAACTATTGTCCCTGTGAGTGTTTGGATGAGTTGAACCGCGAACAGCACAGTGAACTTGAGAGTATGCTTCAAAAGCCACAAGATCCCAAAATGCGCGATTTAGACGGTGTGTAATTCAAACGGCGATTTCTTGGCCGCTTGAAAGTGGTGCGTTTGTTGATTGAAGCTGCAGCCAAGGGAGGCGTGGCTCAACTCCTTCACATTTGGCAGCTCTCAACGAGCAGTTGCAAGCTGTGGAATTGTTGGTTGAGGTTGAAGCCAACAAAGGCGCAGCTCATGGAGATGGATATAGCTCCGTACATTTGGCAGCTCATGGGCTGCTTGGAAGTGATGCAAGTGTTGGTCGAGGCTGGAGCCAGTGAGGATGCAACTGATGAAGATGGTTGTACAGCCCTGTACCTTACATGTGACAGGAGTCATTTGGAAGTTGTAAGATTCTTGGTTGAGACTGAAGCCAATAAAGCAGCACGAAGAGATGGCACAGACCCTTTGGATTCGGCAGCAGTCGGTGGCCACTTGGAAGTCGAGCATGCATTCCCGCATCAATCTAGCTGATGCAAGCAACGGATCTCCGTCAACGAAGCGCCACAGATTGGAACGACGAAACTTCCGGGTTGGATATCGTTTGAATCTTTGAGTTGAAGCATGTTGAACCTCGGTTTTGACTTCGCTGGAGGGTGGACTCTCCATTCACAGCCCGTGTTAATGTCCGCCCCATTCAGGTGAAGATCACCGAGCGTGTGGCGGCGAAGACCCACGAGGCGGCGACGCATTGGGAAGTCGATGACCACGAAAAAACAGCAGCCTGCTGTTGGGTTCACAAAAGAATGATTGTTTTGGAAATCTGGAAATACGAAGCCCCCTTTGAATGACTGGCATGTGTGGCTGTGTGGGTGTCCATTTACTGTATGTGATCTCTTTTGATTTTTCTTGGTCGCCGTGCTCGCCAGGCCATCAAAGACCAGGTGGAGAAAGGGAAATCGAGCCTTGGCCAGACATATCGCAGAGACTTTGTTTGGATGAGTCGTGGCCAAAGCCATATCGTACCTCTGACTATCGTGGGATGAGTTTGGTGGATGGGTTTCGAACCTAGGTGGCGAAACTTGTCTTCATCCAACAGTGCATTGGATGAGTACAGGATTCTGGGTTCCGTGAAAACGGGACTGCAGCAGCGGCAATGACAACGACAACAACAACCCGCAAACACTGAAACAATTGGCTTCCAGGCAGTTTTGACCTCAAGGATCACAATAGCACGGTCCAGTTTTGCAAAGAGTGCTCATATACTGTATATATTGTAATATATTATATATATACTATATATATGCAAACCCAGTTATATATAAGATCCCACGCAACCTTTTCCTCCCTCAGACAAGCAACCATACTATCGCAACAAAAGAACTCGTGAAATGACGGAACCAAACACGTTGGGAATCGTTTCACTGGGAATCGTTTCACCTGTAGTAACAAGAAGCTACTAGGAGTTCTTTGAAGCTACTAGTTACTAGTAGTAGCATCGTTTCATGGATCCCGAATGGACGTCCCCGAACTGCACAAGCTTGCACGGTTCCAGGTCACCAGATTGGTTTGGCAATTCCCGACGCATGGTATGAATGATCTGAGGAAGAAGAAAGGCAAGAAGAAGTGAGCTTCTGGAAAGGACCGAAAACCAGCAGCCAGGCAATGTTGTTGCCATCCTCCTCTCCTTTTCCTGATCATCGTCATTTGTCAAACCTGATATCCCCAAAGGTTACCATAGCAACAATCGAATTCAACAGATCGCTGGAGGGCATGAATTGTAGCTTTGATCACACTGGTGTGACAGTTTATCTACATGGCGATTGGCGATTGGAAGGTTTCATCAGGGCTGTTGGGACTTACAGTAGGAAGTGATTAGGCATTTGTATGCATTTGGGTGATCCCAAGTGATACCATCAGAGATTTGCTTCGGAATTAGGAAATGATAATCTGTGGCTCCAGCTTGGTATCACCCAGTTGGTCGACTTACAAACTCAGAACTTAGAACACAGTAACAGTAAATGTGTTAAGAGTTTGATGCCAAAAGACAGGCGCAGACCTGTTGGACCCTTGCAATGCCAAATAATATTGGAGCAGGAGATACGGCGGCTTCGGAGGCAGGAGATGCGCCTGTCAAGGCCAAAACTTATGGAACATGCCCCTCTCCCGGCTTTTCGAGGGTAGCAAGTTAGCAAGATACCCATTTCTGAGCCAGGTCATGCATGGTTCTAAAGCAAATCGAACTTGCGGACCTTGCCAAGTCGTCTTGAGGTGTCTTGTCAAAACGACATAGCACACGCAGACATGTACAGACTGCTGATTTGCCAAATCTAATCCATCTCAGCTAAGACCAGAGATTCCTTTGCGATAGTTGACTGGCTGTGTAGGTGACATGAACGCCACAACAACCAGAATCAATTTGAGAGAATTCAATTGGTAAATTCCAAGTGGGGGTTGTTCTTTACCAATTTTTCTACTCTGGATAGCTATTTTTGTCAGCTTTACTTGATCACCAAACACATCCCTATAGCCAAATCAGCCTTGGCAAAAATCAGGCTCGGAATGGCAGTGTCACCACTAGGAATGGACGTTTCACTCATGCACGATGAAAGTTGAGCGATAACGAGCTTTATCGCGTGTTGGGTGAAGAACACACTTTCGAGTACTGGACCCATGCCAGACTCCTGTATCAGAGATGTTCTGGTGGCAAACAGTGTCCAACTATGCTGAAAGAATTGCGTTTTTGCACTGCTTTCCGCCAGTGTGTTTTCTTTTTCTTAATACTGATTATGCTCCAAATTGTAACTGCCCGAGGTTGACAGAAGGAAATCCTCGAGTACAGTATGCAGCTTGACAATGACCAGCAACTAGCAACATCGCGGGGCATCTCCCAACACCTTTGAGAGTGTTTGCGAGTTTACGGATCCTGAAGTTGAAAAATAGTGAAAAATACATGAAGTTAGCTGACTAGATCAAATTGACGAGTTTGTTCCGATGGCTGAATTGCTTTGCAAACCTGGGAACTCCATCTACGTTGATGTCGTGTGTTCTGTGTTCGGGACTAGGTTTTCAAGATGAGGCATTACCTTCGAACATGGTTAAAAGGGATTAAGCTCTTGGACGTGACACCTAGAAAAGACCATGGCGCCTAAGCAGAGAGATGCCTCGCCTGCAGCACGGGTGCCGCCGGTGCCGGGGAAGGCGTTTACGCAACAAGGGATCAACATTTGTCGATGCTCAGTAGGTGAAGTCTAAGAGGATACTGTAAATGTACGTACAGTAGATGTCCCTAAGTCATGGTCCTTTGAAAACGCATTCCACTGTTGAACGTTTGTGGTGTGGCGGGTGTGGCAGGCTGTTGATATGTTCAAGGTTTGTATCTCCTGTGCCCACCTGTTGGCGAGAGCTGGGTGTTTCTCCTTTGTTTCAGCTTAGTGTTAGAAGCAGAATTGCATGCTGGGCCGGGTAAGTGGGTAACTTAAAGCTTAAGAAGCTTACATGCCTGAGGATGGGTTTTACTTTTTCCTCATGGAACAGTCAAGAGTCAGGTAGATCGAGCCAGCAGACTGAACTCCTTGACACCAACCCTTTGCAACAGGCCCAAAAGGTTTGTGCGAGAGGGCAGAGGGTATTATCCATGCACAGAAAAAGCCATCGCTAGTAGGTTGGAGGCCATTACTACCAGTAACAAGAAGCTACTAGTAGCATTCTGTAAAAACAGCATTTTCTTCATTTGCCAGGCCTCGCAGTGCACGGCTTCGCCCAAGGAGCCGCCGCCTCCGGCCAAGGCGGCACCTCCGTCCGAGCCTCAGAGGAGGTCGGTTTGGCGGCCACACTGGACACTGACAAGATGTTTCAACAAAAAAGAGGGTCCCAAGCCAAACCAATCCATGGTGCTGACAAGCAAGGTCCAAACATGGACGCACTGCATATGACTGCTGCGTTTCTGGGAGTAAGAACAGAGGAATATCCATCGGGAGGCTGAAATTGTGGGAAGCCTTAATCAATTCTTTGAGACTTTTAATTCTATTTCTAGTAGTAAGAATGCTCCTAGTAGCGATGCCAGGAGCCCCTAGTAGCTTCTTGCTCCTAGTAGCGATGCCCTGTGCTCCTAGTGGCGTCTTTGCTCCTACAAAATGTGGGGTTTCTCAAACCTCCTTTGGACGATGTCCCAGGACCTTCAAGCGCCAAACCTCGATCTACGCGCTCACGCCGGACCGCCGTTGGCTGCGGCCCAGCTGGGCCTTCCCATTGTGCCCCGGAGCTTTGGGGTCAAAGTGCTGCAGACGTAGTGGTCAATTTCGCTGCCAACCTGGTGAACATTGACACCTTGATCAAGAACGCAGGAAGTGGGATGACATGATGTCTCTTGGTGCCATGTGGTCCTTCCAGTGATTAGGAACTTCCTTGGTAATTGTGCCCGGAGTATTGGACTTCGCCACCTGATCGTGGGGTTGCATTTCGGAGAAATCTATCCACTCGCTTGATATCATCCATTCTTTTAATGGTGAGCATGGACGTCCTCCCACCAGGAACAAGCGGTATTTGTCGCAGCGACACAGCTGCAACCTGAAGAAAAGCACCTCACCTGTCGTCGCGAATGCACCAACTCATCCAGACTCGCAACCCTGTGCCGTTTTCATGTTGGCACATGGAGTAGCATGTGGAACCATTGAGTCAAAACCAAAATCAGGTACGCCGCCGCACTTGGACTTACACTGCTCTTGTGCTTTGTTTGGCAGCCGTCCTATGAGTTGCTCCGCTTGCAGTACACCTTCGTGCCAAGGCTGATACAAAAGGACCGGGTTGGCCGGGGTGGGAGGTGCCTTGACGAACACAAGGATAAAGTAAGCATACGCAGCAATTGATGACGCTGTTGTGGCCAACTGCTAGCAGGTTTTGGTTTCTTTGAGATAGGTTCTCCTGCCTCCCGCAATCTTGACCTGCGGAATCCCATCGAAACGACCAACAAGCCCAGTACTGATTTGTTGCATGGCCTCGAGCTACTTGGCCACAGCATATTCACCAGGAATCCCACGTGCCTGCACTCTCTTGACCTAGGTGGGCGTTGGGCTGCTGCTCTACAGAGTGTGGCCCAGCAGAATGGGTTTCTGATGGTTTCTGGCTAGATTTGGGTCGTATGGAACGTGCGCCCTCGTTGGTGCCAGGAATCTGAAGGCCCAACGGATCCATTGGCCAGGAGTAATGTTCGCTACTAGGAGCAAAGGGCATCGCTACTAGGAGCAAGGGCCTTACTGCTAGGAACAAGAAGCTAGTAGAAACAATAAGTAAATTGAATTTAATTAGAATTAAGTGTAATTAGAATTGGTACCCTTATCTACGGTAGCTGGCGTCAACACATCACTAAACCTTCAAGGGCGAACGCTCAGGTATTACTACGCTCACAAGGAAAGGATCTTGTATTTCATTGACCTTTGCTTCGTGAGCAGCATTTTTCTGCGTCTTTGGCTCAAAATGGCGCTGTGTGTGTCACATGGTGGGCTATGGACAAATCTCTACCATTCAAGATGGGTGGGGATCCGGACATATAGGTTTGCCAAAAAATATTAAGGCACCCCACCATTGGGTATCAATGTTCATTCATGTTGGAAGGTTTCTGTGCTTGAGGCACACGCATGCGGTCATTCTAAATGTCTCATAATTGGTGTTCGATCTCTTTGCAAAGTCCCGCTGGACAAAACCCAGCCCCAATTGAATCGATGGAATCTGGAGGGTTCTTGTTGGGTCCCCACTGGGCTGGTCTGGAAGGAGGATGGGAAGGGGTGGCATGTATTCGTGGGGGTGCTGATTTGTGATGGTTCGCATCACTCCATCATGCATAGATTAATAGATGTCTCAGAAACAGGATTCCCAACTTCTGGGGTTCATCTGTCGAGCGACGTTCATTTGCCCTGCTTCTTCAAAAAAGGACCCCCGCCACTCCTCGCCCGTTCCCGAGGATTTGGAGCCTTTGGTTTTGCACCGACGGTCGATGTTCCCAGGACCCTCGCCCGTGTGGGTAGCGGGCGTCGTGGCTGCGCTGCGCTGGGGCGTCTCGTGCGTAGAGCGCAGCGCCAGCGCCAGCACAGGAGTGGCTTTGGGCGGTCTATCTCGTTGCGCAGGGCCCAGTGGCTGGAGCCACCTTCCCATTGCAGACACCCTTGACACTTCATCATCCGGAGGCCCCGGGATCAGCAGATCAGACAACCCAGCGGCCATAAGTCGACTTATAATGATCTCTGGCAGCGGTAACCCACAGTGCAGCGGGGAAGACCGGGAAGGGAGAAGTTTTAAGTGCAACATCACTCTGGCATTTCACCATTTAACTGTTGCAGTTTGTTCGATTTGTTTAAGGTGTAAGAGGCACCGAGTGTTTCACACGCCATCAATACATGGTACTGCCATGTACTCGTACCACATGGTAGCACATGTCACCAAAGGCCTTGAAACACTGACCAGGCCTTTGAGAGCTTTTTCTTACATGCCTCTCCAATGTGGATCTCATACGCTGTGCGCTGGCGCTGGGCTGGCTTTGAGACGATTCCCAGCGTGGGCCAGCGCCACGGCTAAAAACGTCCTTCTGGAAGAGTTTCCCTGCACCGTAGGCGGAATGTGTGCTCCTATCTTTTGGCGGCTGACTGGGGTGGTTACTGTATATAAGTTCTTTCCACACATCCACACTTCTACTACTGTACTGCTTATATAGCTAGTCTGGGGAAAATTCTATCCACATTGCCCATTGCCCCATGTTTCCTTTCTTGGGACTCTCAGATCAATCTTGCGTTTTTGTGCATTTCAATGTGCCTGACTCATAGTGGGTAAGATTGTCTTGCGTGTCATGCTTTTCAATATCAGCATTGCATTTGCTACCACTACAAGGAAGGTATCCATTCAGAATGTGCTTGGAGCTGTAGGCTTGTAGCGGCTGCCTTTTGGAAGATCTTCTTTCCTTGGTTCATCGCGCCTCTCGGTGTTTGTGATGGACTGAGAGTGCATTGTTGTCTTCTCAACAGGTTCTAGCGCAATACCTAGTGACGGATGCTTGTTTCTTCACAGAAGAGGATGCATCAAGACAGCCTGAAAAACAGACTTGATGAATCCATTTGAATCACAGTCCTAGGACCACTGGCCTTTTCTTATTTTCATCTCCAGGCATGCCCTCTGAGGTATTTGATTTTCCTGCTTGTGCAGCCATTCTTACCAGATAAAATCGCTGGATATGAGACGTTGGTGGATGGTTTGATCCTTCCTTCACTAACAACTGAGCAGCGGCTGAATGCGAAGCGGCAGAAGTACTCCTCCTACGCAAAGGGAGTGTTGATGGCCACCAGTTTACATGCAGTCCTCTCCAGCAGACACCATTTGCATAGCAGACGTTTCTTTTAAGTCTAGATGCCCCAAACGTCAAGAAACCATGATTTGACCCGGAAGACACATGAAGACAATCTGCTCATTTGTGCTCCAAGGATTGCAGATAATATGTGTGTTTTGTTTTCTGCGTGCAAGTGCATGGGTTTCCGGATGGCTCTCTCAATCCAAAAGCTCCTGAAATTTGATGATGACATCCAACATGAGGAAGCCGCTGATCGCTTCCAGTTCTATTTCTTCATATTTTTTGTGAACCACCCGTTTTGTGCGTTGTGGACCACTAAGGTTCTGGATTTCTGGCAGCTGCACTGGCCTTTCAATATCATGAAGTTCAAATTGTTTGGATCCTTTGTGTCTTCATGGGTTGCCTCATCTCAGGCTCTGGGACCAATACGTGATTCAGGTGTAGCAACGAAGCGTGTCCATACAAAAAAGACATATGAGTTTGCATGAGTTTGCAATGGCTAAGAGAACTCTGGTTCTTCTCAAGCTATATACATGGTTTTGGCATCAAGTTGCCACACGTTCAAACACTTATATGTACAGGTGCCGGTCAAGAGCTCCTGGGGTTCTTCTGAACCAGTTGATCAGCTGCTGCTAGTCAGTACTTGTAGAATCATTGGCTGGCTGCCTGCGTGCATCCTGCTGCGTACCTTATTTGCCAAAGGTGAAGTCGGAACGGAGTGGCTGCAGATATCACTTGCCTTGCTGTGCCAGTCTTGCCACCCTCAGATTTGGGCCTCTGGAATGAGGGCAACGGGCCAATAGCAGCTAGCGGGGTCTTGACCCGATTCACACTGCTAAGCATAGATTGTGGACGCGGAATCTGACGCCTGAAGCGGTGCGGCCAAAACGTTGCTTCTGTAAGAGTCTAAAAGCACTTGTTGCTACTAGCTTCTTGTTACTACTAGTAAGGCACTTGTTACTACTAGCGTGGCACTTGTTCCTAGTAGCTTCTTGTTACTACTAGTAAGGCAC